CAGAAATCTTCAATATCTACAATCATGCATAAGATTCCTTCTCTTACATAGAGTATTCCCAACTTTTGTTACTGTTTTACACAGGTCTTTATCCTATGTTGTAATACCTAGGTGTCCCTGCCATTCTCTTTTGTGGAATTTAACTTCATTTTCTACAGAATTGAGCCCCAGGTTTCTTCCCTATTTGTCTCAACACACTTATTCTTCTTAACAGTGTGCCTTTTTAGGCCTGTCTAAGTATATATTGATAATATAACACATTTGCCTTGTTCAAAATTTCAGAATTCTGTGACATTTATACCTCGGTTACATTCACTTCAAAGCAGTCAAAATTTCAGAATTCTGTGACATTTATACCTCGGTTACATTCACTTCGTAAGCTGGTGGCAAAACTAAAATCCATTGGTCGCCTCTATCTCCAGCAAGCACTAACTCAATGATGGTATAGAAGAAATGAAACTTTTTCTTAATCTTTACCTAATGTCCACTTTACTTTGAATGCTAAAACCCCCCAATATTTTAAAAAATTGTCTTGGGTCTCAGCCAGTGTTTAAAAGTCTGATTGATTACCTCATTTGGTCTAAGCTCTAATTGTTAGACACACCAGTGCCTCAGGGTCTGTAAAATATACTTGCAAGCTGCACATTTGCAGTAGGTTCTTACCTACTATCATACAGCTTATTATCAGACAGATCAAATTTCACTGAAATGAACAGAAACCTTTAATCTAGATTTTCCCTCTCAAACCTGCAAGTGGCTAAGTGCCCTCAGTCTTTGCAATCACAGCTGAGAATTCAGCGTGCTCCCTGTGAATTTAAGCTGACAAGGAACTGAAGAGAAGTGTAGGCATACAATGAAGCTTGAAGTGGTAGAAAATTGAAATAAAAAATAGAAATGAAAATGGCAGGGGTCCCACATATAGCTTCAGGAAAATGTTCCTATCTAGACAAGGTAATGGCCAGTCATAAGAAAACAACCTATTATAAAATGTGATGGGAAATTAACTTAGACACTGCTGGATGAGTTCAAAACTACATATAGAAGGTATGCTAATAATGACCCTAATTACAAAAAGTAAACTGTTAAAAATAATTTCAAATTTAAATATAATGAAAAGAGTAATTTAACACTCAAGCAGAAACCTATCACCTTGACACTAATGCAGCGTAGGCAAGAAGGAACACAGTTTATTTTTAATGACAAATGCAAGATTTTGAACGTACACATTAAAAAAAAAAATCAGTGTCATTTTCTTAAGTTTGACCAGCTAAAAAGTAGATGTCTTTTACAGAAAAAGTGAGTAAGTGTCTTTTTCTGACCAATATTTCAAGGATGATTTGAATTCCATAACATCAGTAACTCATTCTGCAAGTCAGGCAGTGAAGATCTGGCCTCAGGACACCTGCATGTGGAAATCCATTACTTACACAAAATAGAAAAACTGCTACCAGAAAAAGCATGCAAGAAAACCACACTGTATACAACTGATCCTCTGAGAAGGAGACAAAGGACAACGATGTGCCAAGGGAGACTGCCTGCAAATGCATCCTCTCTCAGGAATGAAATTCACCCTGTTCTGAGGTGTTGGGTAGCAACAAAACCTCCCTACTTGTTCTGAACAGCGCAGCAAAAGAACTAAAAAGATGAATGCTGGTTTGCCCTAGTTTTGTACCAGCCTTTTATCTTATGAATGAAGCTATCTCCCAGCTTGAAGAACAATGGAAGAATAATGGAAAAGGCGAAGGTGCGGAAGAGAGAAAAAAAAGGTAATTTGTTCCCACTAGGGGCAAATACAGTCATGGACTGGGAACACTGGATCAGATGTAACCAGCAGAAAGAAAAATCATGGAAAATGACAAAATGGATGCGGTGGTCTTCAAAACAATACTGGGTTTGTTATTTTCTCTGTTCTTGGGAGGACAGATGTCTTGATATATTTATGCTCGTTTGTGACCTGGAAAATTAAGATTCATTTTCTGTGTGCTACTCGGACTGCTTGCTTAATTCTTGGTAAGCCAGTTAGAGCTAGGCTTACAGGTACTCAAATATTGCAAGAAACAGATATACCTAGAAGCTTTACGGGATTCTCTTTTTTTTTTTTTTTTAAGAGTATTAGTCCATTTGGTTTAACAATTTCAAAAGGAATTGAACAAAAATGCTTAGGTGCTTTTAAAGTTCCACTTTACACTTTTGATTAAATCCTTTAGAAGTGTCTCAAAAACACCTTTGCTAAATGAAGACATAAGACCTTCTCATGTCAATGATCCACTGTGAGGACAGATCCTTTACTACAGTAACAGCCCTTAACAAGAGATTTATAAAACAAGTAGGCAGACTAGTTCAACAGAGAGTTCAGCAAAGGGAAGGCTGAATGCTTCTCTTGCTAAGAGCAATTTCTAAAAATTGCAGAGGTCAAAATGCCCACCTGGTGCCAGGAAGGTATTCATTGGCATGGTCTATTGAGGGGATTGTACAATTATTTGGTTTTAAGAATGATCTATGGATATATTTCCTTTTATTCTGGAAATATTAGTCTGCTGCAGCAGTATTTTCCAGTTTCTAACAATAACTCCCATTCTGCTCACAAACACCATTCTGTCAAGTTTACAGCCCCAATCTACCACAGTATTTCAGCTGGGTCGCAAAGATCCCAAGCTGGGAACTGCCACTTCCACAGCCTTCCAGCTTGGCATAGATGTTCAGTGTCAACTGTAAGAGCAAAAGTCAATACAGTCCATCCTAGCTAGGGATCTAGTACAAGGATCTATAAAAATCCAAATTATTGCATGCTCATATAAAGGTCAGCTTTTTCGTTTTTTTACAACACTGTTCCATGACTTCAACCAAGCTATTACAATTCATAGAAGCTGAAGATCGTCTGGTTCCTGGCTTTTAAAATAAAGAGCTGACACACCTTCTGAAACATCTTTCAGCAAAACTTAATCATCATTTTCGCAAAAGAATGACAAATAATGTAGAACCATCTTAACTACGGCACTTGCATTGGAAGAAAAAATTGGCCATAAAATAATAATTTGACCCAATTTTAAGAAGTTTATACAAATGCATTATGCTGTGCACTAAACTTAAATACATAATTTAGATTACTTTGGGTAAGAGTGACTCGGTAAGCATCAGATCATTCAGAAAGTAGCATGAAGTGAATATGATGGTCTTGCAGTATGTCTGGTTACTGCAGTAAACACCAGTTCTCACATCTTACTTAGTGTGAACAGGCTTACAAATAATACCAAACCGTGATTTATAGGAGTTTTTCACAATGGGGTATTTCGTTACCATCCCAGGTAAATATGCCCAAGTTGGCCTGTCCCTTCTGAATAATTGCATTACTGCTGTAACCACATTAACTTTTCCTCACCTCTAGGTACCTTCCATAGAGGTCAATCATCACCACCAGTCCTATCCTGAGGACAGCTCTTTCGACACTGCATCTCTGTGGATGATCTGTACAGATCCTGCCTCACCACTACCATCCTTCAAAAGAGCCCTTCAGGCTGACCTCTCTTTTTTCCATGTGATCAACAGTTGTTTTTTGTTTGAAAAGTCTGACAGTCTGGACATACACCCAAAGTCAGTCATATCCCATCTGCACTATTTGCACACCTCTGAGCACTTGTGTCTGCTCCAAGATCTTTGCAGTCTTTCTGCTACCTGGCTGCTTCACCCCGAACATCTGCTGCAGACAACCACACAGTGCCACTGGATAAAATCCAAAATATCTCCTGCTGACTCTTAAGTCAGACTGCCAGGCACAGCAGAAGGCAAAATCTTTAGCATCTATCTCTCCTTAGGCCTTGCTAACATCTTAGTTTCATGAAGTAAAATTGCCTCTATATTACTATTTCTCTGAAACGCTCCGAGTGTCCCAGTGGACAAAAAAACAGTGGACTGTTTTTTCTTGTCCAACATGTCCTTTCTCTTCTGCACTGGAAATGATCAGTGCTAGCATATAGACTAGACATTTGACAAATTAATTTCTTAAGTACTTTTCCAGCATCTGATTGCTGGTTTGGTTAACATCTGGTGTGAAATCAGATGGAAGAGCTACAAGTGACTGAGAAGTATGGATGACGTACAGAAATACTGTATGTACCCCCTAGAAGCCTTCATCTTCTTGTCTCAAAAATCTTTATACCTTTCTCTAAGCGATAGAATGTGAAATAGTTGTACAAAAATTCAAATGTTTGAAAACCACACAAAATATAGAGGAAGAAGGTATATTAGGAACTGCACAAACTACTGGCACCAAACTTTATTCTGATCTCTCTCAATATTACTGTCATTCTGTGTATGTACGTGCAATTTGAAGAACAGTGAGAATTGATTTTTGGTTAGATATGTTGTAACCTACACTATCCACTTTCCCAGTAGTCCACACTTCCTTGCAATGAGCCTTGTTTGTATAAATGCTCCTGCATAGTGGCAAAAACTGTGATGGGTCACCTTCAGGCAGCAACTGCAAATGAAGCATAACTGTTTTCATGGCAATATTCTGCAGGAGTCTTGGACTCCAATTCTTGTAACTCTTTACACCAGCTAACGTGTTTGGCCAATCTATTATCCTGATAAGTTGAGAGGAAAAGTAATGCATTCTCTTCTGTTTAAGGTTCCAAATAAATTACTGTGACATACTCTGCAAAAAATGAACGAGAGACTACACAAGTGCCAGTGATTTCAAATTACTTTTAGGGCTAAAACGATCAGTGCTGAACTCCACAGGTTTCTGAGATTGGACAGAGCATGCACTCCGCTGTAACAGATGATTTAGAGCGTTAAATGTATTGCTGACTGCCATCCAAAGTCACTTCGTGCCCTTCAAAGTGCCACTACCTTAAAAAAAATCAATACAAAATTAATTATAGGAGGGAACTTGTGTGGACTGTCTCCAGTGAACTCTGCTTCTTTCACACATAAGTATTTATTGAGCCATTATAGGTGAAAGATTAGGTCCTGAGCATATGATGCTAGACAATACTCACAGCAACTGCCTCCAGGATTTGTTTAACAGCATCAGCAGCATCTCGTTCACTGTAGTAACCCTTTTCCACAATCCTACAGAAAAAGCAACAGAGAAATTGTGTTCAGGATTATGTATTAAAGTAAAAGCTTCTTTTGAAAAATGAGCTAGAAAACAATCAAATTTAAATATGACCAGGACTTTGGAGTGCCCCCTAAAGAATAGAAAACAACCCTTTTGCAATTTAGGTTACCTTTGATTCCCAGTTAAATGAAAAACTGGAGATAAAGTATCAACTAGGTAAGAAGCTCATAATATATACACAGTCAGTTGAAAGGTTTTGGAATTTTCTAAAATTCAGGGAATCTGAACTACTCCCAGATAAAACTAGGTATCCTTTAGGAACTGCTTTTTCACTCTTATATTTAACTTAAGCTTCCCCCCCTCTTATTTATTTATTTAGTTATTAAACAAAAGCACAGTGTTATGCACATACATATCTGAATTATTCAAGAAAAAGGGTTGGTGTAAACATTTACTAGCTTCAAATTATCCCTCGAGCATAATGGGCTGAACAATTGTCTTTTTTTCCCTGATCAGTAGAAAACTGGGGGCTCTGTAATAAAAAACCCCATGGTTTCATTAAAACTAAACCTACATTTTTTTCTTTTCTTCTTAACATAAATAGCCAGCATGCTTTGTTTATTTTGTATAGATGACATGTAATAGCTTGATTTTGTAAATGTGCTGACCATGTGCAGCTTATGGTGAGTTCAGCAACATTTATGAGTTCTGAAGATCCTGAAAATCGGGTTTTCTTTCTCCCTTTGCTTTTACATCAGTTCAATCTTGTAAAAACAAACAAAACCCAAACTTTCTTCTTTAATAATGTTATCTCCCTGGAAACTTACCATGATAAAAACATTAAGAAAGAAAATACTTTTCTGTGTTAAGGTAATGTTCTGAAGTGGTGTATTTCAACGTTGTATGCTATCCTGCATAGAAATGGCAGCAAGGGTTAATGCAGATTTCTGGGTTGGCCTCCCAAAGCCCAGCTGTGCTACTGCAACACTTTTAGAAGAACACCAGCAGTGGCACAGGGTTTGGGGGCTCTCTCAGGATTTGCATCGCATGTTCTCCAAGAACTGCCATTACAGAATGAAACATTACATAAATGCACAGTTCAGTTAAACAGAGTCAGCAGAAGATACAGATTTCCACAATGACATATAAGAAAGTATTAAAAGAAGGATCTATCATTAACACGTACTAATGCCCCATTTAAGAAACCCAACAGTCTTTTTACTGTTGTATCTAACTACATATGGTGTTTGTGAACTACAAGAATTATTACCTTAAAGGTCAGATCTTTGACCTGAAGTTTTGATTTTTTACCATATTAATTTTTCAAAGCCCAAGAAAACACAGACAGATGTTGTCTAGAAACAGAACCTGTGGTGCCTATCATACATTTTATAAAATGGTCTCCTGCAAGCACACAAGCCAGTTTTACAAACAATGCTCTAAAATCCCCATGAAGCAGGAGAGCAAGAAACCTATAACGTCTGAAGTCAAAAGTCACTGGAAAGACCTTCTGCCTCAGGGTCCAGAAACAGACTCTGCTTGTGGCAAGAAGGGTATACTCCTTTCTCCCCACTTCCCCTGTTTTCCAGCATCTTTTTATCACTTCTCTTTGAAATACCAGACTCATATTGAGCTACCTTCAACGCAACACCTTACAGCTTTACAAAAGCTGACAGGAAAGGTGTTGACTAATGTACATATGAAAAGTATTAGTACGTACTCATTAGAAGATTAAGTGTAATAAGAAATGATACAAAGATGATAATCTACCAGAGACAGATGTAACAAGCATGGCACTGCAGAAAATAGTCTATACAGGGATATTCCTAACCAGCTGCAATTACTTTACCTTAACACTCATTGTGTTCACAGACAACTAAGTCTATTCATGTGGCACTGGTAACAGCAAGCAATCCCTCTCAAGCAGGAGTTCTATTTCACCATGATTTCTTGGCTGCATAATTACTTGGCCTTATTTCTAGAAGTCTTTTTTTCTGGCAGCACTTCAGCTACCATCCCATATGCACTGCTTCACCTCCTTTGCATTTTTGTATCTTTAGCCTTTCCCCTGCTTTGGTCATCTGTTTAAACCATCAGGGAGAGCTTTACTTGAACTTAACACCACAAGGGTAAAACAAAGTAAAGTTTACTCAATGAGACTATGTTAGGCTTTTAGCCTCAAGTTTAGGAAAGAGGTTACGAAAAATCATAAATTACACAATAAAAGGCTACATTATGCTTGAAAGTAAGATTCCTCCTTAGCTATTTCAGGCTGAATTATCCTCCTCTGGTAGATTACATGGCGAGACCTGAGCCCCAGTGACCCTCTTGCATGGGCCTTTGTTCCCCCAAATATACTGGTTTGGCTTCCTCCTCATTTTTAATTTAAATAAAGTATTTAGTGTCAGCCAGCAAGTTCCTGCCTTTAGCATCCATAAGCATTTCTGAGAATACAGACCTCACCCCCATCCCACCTTCCCCCTTCCCTGCTGGTATTTTGGGTGCTAACTTGCTCCTGCCACCATGGCACAAGAAGCATGCTAAAACACTGTCCTTGTTTTACAGGATTCCATGTATTAAAGACATTCATATAATCATTCTGTTAAGCTTACAATCCTTACTAGGGCGCAGGAGATAGTAACAAAATTTCAAATTTGGTCACAAGGTAGTAAAACAAAAAAGACTGCTGTGCTAGTTTGACCCTCTGTTTTCAAACTGCCATAGACTTTGGAATATATTCCTCAACGCACCGCAGCAAAAAAACAGGCATCTCAGGGCTGCTGCTGGGGAAGTGCTGCACATGGGCTGAGCTGCCAGCATCGCTCAGGCATACGTCCCCTGGCAACGGGCCACCCTGCCCATGCCTTGAGTCCAGCAGCTGCAGGATGACCTTGTGCACCTGACCTCAGAAATGCACGAGGCAGGAGGCAGAAGGTTTTAAGGTTTCAACAGGAGTTGAAATTCTCTGATTTTCCAACATATGTGACTAAGATCAGAGAAATATGCAGCAATACAGTTACAATACAATTTACATTTCTCCCTTCATCCAACAAATTTCTAATTTTACAGTATGATAACCCAGTAATTGTTGTATTTCTTTTTCAAACAGATAAACCGGGGGGGAGATATCTCTTAAAGGCAGAAGGCAG